TGACGGTCATCTGGCACAGACCACAGTCATTAGTTAATTCAACAGCTTTTCAATGGTATTTAGGCTCAGTTATGTAGATCAATCAAACACTGTTTGCTTTTGTCATTTTGGAAATACCAGGTTAATTTCCGTGAAAACAACTCTTCCATGAAGTTACAGTTTTGATGCAGAATTTTTTTAAGTTCTTTTTTCACCCCTGAAGCATCGTCCTAGCAACATACTCTACACTGAATGTCCTTGTGTGGGAAGTAGTTTGTTCCTAACACACTCCTTTCTTCCAACTCCAAACAGCAAAACATACAAAAACGACTAAACAATATGGTTCTAGTTTGAGTGATCTCTCCGCAGGATGTTCTTAGCAGACCTGGGTTGACTTTGTGTGTGTCTTTAACACAAGTGAAGTGTCTTTTTATTATTTTCTCGCTCTGTGACTTCATTGTGTCTTACTGTGTTACTCTCGTAACTGTCTTTTTGTGTAAAAAAGTGTAATTCCAGACTGTTTTAAATTATTTACTTGGCAGTTTTTCTTGGGCCGTGAGACACATCTCATCTCTTCATAGAATTCTTGAGATTATTTATTGTCTATTTTCCAGTTTGTACCCCCACGTTAGCACTTGACGTTGAAAAATGTTTTAATTAAATTTGTTTATCTCTTGTTTTCCAAGTTCTGAAAATGCTTCATGTTCCTCTTCTTCTTTGTGGGCATCAATAATTATTTTTCTCATCCTTAACTCCTTTATTATTTTGCTTTTTACTAGGCAAACTTCACTTAAGGTTCTTATTAGGTGATTATCTACAGGAAAACAATGCTCAGCTTTAACTTTAATTTAAAGATTTTAATTTAATTTGTATATTAGCACACAAACTGGTTTCTGTTTGCTATCTAATGATAATGTAGGCGTGCCAAATGTTGCGTTTACGATTGCTCTGCATAAAAGCACTTCACTTGAGAAATTACATGTTCATAGTAATAGTTTTGTCCTCAGCTGTGAAGATAATACTGCTCAGGACACTATTGTGCTTTTTAAGCTCATTTACATTTAATTCAGGGGCAAAGAAAAAGAACCCAATTTGTTCTCTAACACATTCATCCCCATCATATACAGTATATCCTGAAACCATCAAAATAATGATCCTGAACAATATTGCATTAACATCAACAAACAGTGAGTGGAAAAAAAAGAGCTAGCAACACAAAATATTAGAGCAGCTAACAATACAGTAGCACGAGAAAAGCAACGGACAGGATGAGAGCCAAATAAATAAATGAATAAATAAATATAGGCAAGCTGACGAGGAGGTGTTGTGACAACCGACAATGAATAAAACATTTCACCTGTTTAAAGGGAGGCAAGACAAGAGAGCAACGTTGAACACAGATGGCCAGCCACCTCTCTGCACTAAGGCCCCACAAGCACAGCAACAACCCCCACACACCAACACAGACAGGCACGGTGCAATGACTCACTTTGCCAACACTCACATCAAGTGTGTCTGCTCAGGCTATCTGGCCTAAGAACAGCTGATGTGCAAAAAAGAAAAAAAAAAAAAAAAAAAAAAATGCTTTTTTTCAATTGCAGCAGAGACAACAAAATCAGTGAAATAAGACAAAAGTGGAAGCTCGTAACATTCAGCCTGGATTCAGTCGATCCGTCGTCCATCGTATCCTTGCAATTAACTATAATTTGGCCTGTGGGATGCTTGGTGCAAATTGTTCGAGGTGGACAAAGAATGACAGCAAAATTATGTGTTTGAAGGAGCTAAAGGACAAATCAAGGACAACTGAATCCTGGACTCTGGCAGGTGAAAGGGATCAGCAGACACAACCTTTTCTCTATGTACAGTGGAGGACGGAACATTTTCTTATTACATTATTTATTCCTGAATAACCCTTGATCTTTTTTTCGGTTGAAGCGTACACCTGTCAGTATTATTCAAACAAAATGCACACATACACACACACACACATGCTGAACTACTATTCTTTCTGTGGCTCCCTGACAAAGCTGGAGTAGCAGAATAAAAATGAAAGGGGCTAGTTACACAAGCCAGTGATTTACTATGACGACTGTGAGGATGTAAGGAAAAGGCTGACATTTTGATGCGTGAGAAGGATGTCCTCACAGTCGCTCTTTACACACAGTCAGAGTTTTAAACAACTGCCTCAGAAAATGGATGATAGCAAGAATATGAAAAAAAAACCCCTGAAGATATGATCAAAGATATTTCTGAAAAGGCTGAAAGGAGCAGAAGGGCAAAAATGTGGGGGGATGGTATTAATAGATATTTCCCTGTGAAAGGACCCTTCGCTCAAATTTGCATTTGTTTATGCACAGACTGTGATTTTATTGCAAACAGGTATTGTCTACAGGGAGAGCGGGAAATGATGTGAACAGAATTCAACTGGACATGGCGACAGCTGCGCTCCGGGAAGCGTTCCAGCTGAGATTCATCCAAGATGTTCCTTAGATTTTTTTTTCTTTTTTTTTTACTGCATTGGATGAACATCTGCATAGCATTACTTAGTATTAATACACTTATAATGGAAGACACCCACATCCTTTTGCAGGAGCCGAGGGTAATGACTATAGCAGAGGAGACATTTTCAAAGAGCTTATGTTAAAGTTGACGTTCTCTCTGCACGTATTTCATACTTGGTTGGTGATCTTCACACCAGGTTTTGACATTTGTTTGTCATCCTGCTGCCTGTGCTGCACACCGACCCCCCCGATCTTCCCTCCCATATGTTAAACTCCTTAGTCTCCCCTGTTTGTCACTGCCTCTTGATCTTCTCTTAAATAATTGCGGCAGCATTTCCTCTCCCGCTCCTGTGAGTTAAACACATCTTGAATTCAGCAAACTCAGAGTTTTTTTTCCTCCTATTTCTGCAGGTGAATAAAAGCTGACATTCACAATCACCTGCTAATTAAACACCTCTGCTCTTTATACATCTCCTGTGCTCCATGTTAACATGCAATTATTCTGCAATGATTAGGCAGGTAAACATTTTAGGGCGATAAAGCACAAGCTGTGTGCACACCCTCTGACTTCCCTCTCTCTCTCTTTCTGTGTCTCTCTCTCTCAGTGGCTCGGCTGCCACTTAGCTTGAAAAAACAGAGGAAAAAAAAAGCTTTGATTTTCTGTGCAGACACTGCTTGGTCCTAGCCCTGTTTCATTATCTCTACGTGTGAAGAAGTCTCAATGTGCAGAAACCAGCTCAGAACACGAGACGAGACCATGATGACTGCGGCAGGTTCCAGCTAAATCCTTTCCACGCACAGACACACACCCACACCCACACTTTCACCATTCTGTTGTTTTTCTCTACTTTGAATTTTATCATCAAATGTCTGTGTGAATATCTCAGGGCTAAAACTCTGCCCGCATTGCGTCATGTGGTTCTGGGTTTTCTTTTTTCCCTTTTTCTTTTTGTAAATTGTGTTTCTTTTGACTCTGCCAGAGAGGAACTAGGTCACCATAAACACTGGGATGATTTAAATCAAGTTTGGTCAGATTTGAGGTAAACTGGAGACAAAAATGCAGATGATTTCAACATGTATGATATAAACAATAGCCAGAGTAAGAGTTCAAGCATAAATAATCTGGACCGATGTGTAAAACCTTTGCTCAGCAGACAGGAATTCCTGTTAGTCTGCTCAGTGACGAGATAAGGTAACAAATACCGTCTGTGAATTTAGCTCCTTATGCTCACAAAAGACAAAAGAAAAACTTCATACCTGCTGTGTCACAGACAAAGTCTAACTTTTCAACTTTTTAATAATTGTAAAACAATAAAAGAAACAGTTTGATATCCAGGGAAATAAGCCTATTTGCCTTCCACGGTGTTATATGAAAAGATTTATAGCACTAGCTTAGGATAAAGAGTGAAAACCGGGGGTGGAAAAGTCTGATACTGACAAATGGTAGAAAAGCCAGAGATCTGAGGCGTATGAATGTACACACTATATCTGGTTTATTTCAGGCTGAAGTGTAAAAATGATGTGCTGTGCTCTTTCCTGGCAGATAACCAAGGCATGAATCTTCTCACCTAACTGCACTTCAGAGAGTGAGAAAAAAAAAAAAACCTGTATTTCCCCACAACCTTTTTTTATAACAAACACGTATCTCTGTAAGGCAAAAAGGAGGAGGGCGGAGGTGCACCTGGGGAGTGAAAGGCCGGTGGAGAGGGAGTGTTGCACACCACCGTTTCTGCCAGCAGGTTGTTATAAGGGTTAGTGTCGTGGGTGCGGAGGAGAGGGTTAGTTAGGAGGTAGTTGCCAGTCATCCCTGAAATAACAGGAAGACAGAGAAAGGGAGAAAAATCAGGAGTGAAGAAAAACCACAGTGGAAGAAATAAGAGCTCAGAGTACAACGGTTGATGGTCTGTGGTGGTGAGCTGGGGAGCTGTCCACATAAACAAACACTGACAGTTCCTGTCCAGAATCTTNTCCCACTTCTATTATGATCGGAGCAGCCATGGAGACGGTGGTCGACAACACTGTCCAAACAGTCGACCGTTGTAACTGACAAACATTATTATTGCCACAAGTGTTGACCAAAGCATGGCAGCACAATCAGCTGCAGTGTTTACGTGAGACAAGTTCGTCCAAACAAAGTCGTCCAGTCGAGACGCTAGACAAAACATGTGTAAGTGGCCTTCCATGAATAATACTCTCTCCCTATCATCGCCCGCATTCTTGGGTAAATCCGCAGGGATGAGAATAACTATACTTGCTCGTTGGTATGGATCACTGTGAAACTCTGCACTGGCATGTGTGCCTTTAAAAAAGAAATCTGACATGGGAGGCTCGATGGCTGAGTGGAGAGAGCTGCACCACATGGGCTTAATGCCCTGAGCAGTTTGACTCCTGTCTGGGGCATCTCTCCCTCTCTATTACCCTCTTTCTGCCCGTCTCTCTTGCACTCTCGATTCAATAAAGATTAAAAAAAAAGGCCACAGAAAATAATGAAAAAAAAAAAAAAAAATAGAAGCGGTTCATATCTATAGCCAAATCTGCATTAGTAAGGTCTGGAGTCTGAGCTCAGTGATGGGGCTTTTTTTTTTTTTTCGGAAATCCTGCTCTGACCTCTTTCTGACTTTGCTCATCGTCTCCTTCTCTCTCCCTTCCTCCTCACATTCAACTTCTTTTACGAACACGCCGTACATAGGAAACAGACTTATTGATCTCTATCCAGCAGTGAAGCCCAAAAAAATGACTGGAAGGGCTTTGCTGATTTTGTGAGCGTAGACGCCTGTGGGAGAACGAGGCAACTTGTAATTTAATTTATGTCAGTAAACATTTTCCTGAAGATTTCATTAGTGTCAAAAACTAGTTTCAGGGCTCCTTTAATAAGGTCCTGTGTCAGCTGTGTAAATTACAATCTCATTTAGTGGAAAACACATGATAAAGGATGACATTTTTTGACACAGCTGCTTGACTGTCCGACAGGAGCCTGTCAACATCAGTGACGTCCTCCTGCTGTCGAGCTCCTGTTGGACAGTTGTGTCCAATTATAACTTACAGAAGTGACATAATGCTCTGACGGCGGAAAACCTAAACCTAGTGGCTGACACTTGAATTTTTTTATTGTCAGGAAATTGTTACCTGCAGTTTTAAATTAGTTGGAGTTAAAAGTCGCCTCATTTTTTTTTTTTTTACTCCAGACTTCTGACAGTCTTTTCACGGGGCTACTTTTTGCAGCCGCACTTTGTCCATTTCTTATGAACGGTCTGTGGTTTTCTGTCAACTCTACATTTGACATTTCTTCAGACCTGGGTCATGCTTTCTGCATTGATGCATTCAAGAACCTGCTAGATTCTGTGTGACATAACATTTGTTTTCTGCCTGTTTCCACATGGGTTCACACTGACCCACTTGTACACAACTGGTGTAGTACAACATTTGATTTACCTTGGGCCCTTTACTTACTGGCCATGTTCTGTGTTGTACCTTAAGACTAAAAGGGGCGTGATCTAGCGCTGGACAGGGACAACAATAGGCAAAGTACTGAGGGGAGGGTTAGGAGAGTAAGGCCAAATAACTTTGTCGCAGCATGACCTCTGCCTCTGAATGTGACCTTTAAGTGGTATGGGTGAGGTAAATACTTACCCAAGGCCTTATAGCAAAATAATTACAGCCCTCATGACACATTCATCTGAGTGTACATATGGAGTACATTGTACGGCCGTAGTCTAGTGGTTAAAAGGATTTTAACTGGGCCGTGGCTTTACCGAAACTTTGGACAGTTTTGGTCCAGTTTCCAGGATCTTAACCACAAACTGGCTATTTTATTTGTTAGCAAAACACAAAGTTTACCAAAACTAAGGCTATTATTGGTGTTTAAAATGTTTGGGCCAACATCTGCATGTTATCTGGAAAGGGAAACTCCTTTGTTTCAGTACAGACAGAATGTCGTTGTCCAAGCAGAAATGAATAGTGTCTCTCGATAGATATAGAACTGGTAAAGCATGACCCAGGCCTGATTATCCTGTTCCTTTCTGGAGAGTGCTGAGGAAAACACTGCAGACTTTGATCCATCTGCAGCATTTACGTTTTTTTTCCCCTCTCAAAGCTCAACACTTTGAGGAACGCAGCATTAAATCAGGTTTAATCTTGTTCTTTTTCTCGAGCTCCCGCAGAACCACGTAGGCTGCGCTCATTGAAGTGTTTACTGCGAATTCAGAGCTCCGTCACAAAGAGAATAGTGTATGTGTCTTGTCTGGCGGTGGGGGTGGAAGAAAGGGTAGCGTACCTTGGTTGAGTGTGGAGGTGCTGTTTATGTCTCCTGAGATGAAGGAGGACTCCGACTGCTTTCTGACAGTGTCGTTCCACATCCGCCTGATGCGGCTCTGGGTGGAGAGAAAAGCTGCCATTGATTACAACTCGACATGGTGCTGCTCTTATTCGAGGCTCGTGGCCTCCGAGACTGGGTGGCTAAGTGGGTTCTCGATTCAAGTCTTCGGGTTCACACATGCTTTAGCTAACACACTGCCTGATGACATGCCGAGCTCTGGTAAAACAAAGCCGCCCGCACGTTATTGATCCAAAAACAACACCAACAACAAACACCTGATGGAGACACGCTGCATTTTGAGAACCTCTTTGAGAACTTGTAACTTGAGATATAGGCCGTTAGCTCCGAGAGGAAGCCACCAACATGTTCTGGAAGAGCCCGTAAACTGTATGCAATATGTCCAATAAGATCACGTCTCTTAATCTGAGCGACAAAAACTGTATTCTCATTGTCACAAAATGACATTTTCAAAGCATTTTATTCATTAGAAGCAACATTGAAATACAAAAATATCAAAATTCTGCAATTTTATAGTATAGTTGAAGTTTAAATGATGAATTTAAGGCAGACAAAATGGATAAAAAAGAAATTCAGATTTTTGCTGTTAAAAAACCCCCCAACCTTCCTGACAGTCTTTGGTCAGTGTTGTCTCATTCTTATGTTAATGTTAATGCACAGGACAGTTTTAGAAGAATCAGATCTGGACTGCATGCAAACCAGGCAAATACTACACTATTTTTATGCACATTACAATGACAAATATATTAAAAGTGAATCATCTCATATTCAGACGTACCAAGAATTCTACTTGCATGATATATTCCGTCTTACTTTGCCCCTGCCTTAACTTTCTTGGAGCGAGATTCTAACTTTGTTAGTTGAATGTTTAAAAAGAATTAGATTTCTCTGCCATTTTTCCTTGCTTTAAAAGGTTTAAGTGAATTACCAAAGTACAGATTTTGGTTGTTATTGCATTTTTAGGAAGTGTGTATCTGCCAAGCTGAGCTGCACAGCAACATTTTTCAATCCTCAACAAAATTTAATATCTTCCTCGGATACGTGACCTTCCCGGAGATTTACTGCGACTGTATACAGTAAATTCTATTTAATCAGATGTAGGTTACGGCAAGATAAAACAGGTCAGCTCAGGAATGTAAAGTTTATTTTCCAACGTTTACACTACAATTTGTGGAATAAATCAGGGGGCTTCACTGCGAGGAGATAAAATTCTTTTTATGTCCTCGAATGATGTTTGTTTTCAACACTGACTTCATTGAAAAGAACAACAAAGGCAGTTGGGTAGTTTGGCTTGTGGGCAGCTCCCAGCCCCGAGCTCTGAGTCCTGTATATATACACTCACATTACCAAGAACATCTGGGCAGGGTAGGTTTTAACAAACATTACTCAAACTGCTATTGTTAGCTACAGATTATTACACATTTTTGTGTGCCAGCGAGCGTTTACACTAGCATGATGTTGTGTGTGGGACTGACTCACAATAAACCGTGGTGCCCTCGTTCATCATGCTGAAAGTGTAGCTGTGTGGCTCTGGGATGTGGTTTTTACTCGTGGGACTACAATGCAGCTACATGACACAAATGGAATAAGTCGAATATATCAGGATTTTTGGCTGCACAGAAAATACATATTAGTGGGGTTGGTCTATTGGTGGTTTTGTAATAAAAGTGAAGAGAATGACCAAAACAATTCCCAAGAGAAATAAAGAAAAATTAGACAAAATATTCTTGATTGTTTAAACTGGTGGTTCCCAAAGAGGGGGGCAGGAACCTCTAGGGAGCACTAAGGTATTCTGGGGGATGGGTGGGGCGTTAGAGAGGAAAATTAATTTCAAACTTTTATTCCTTTTTGCATGCAAATTATAACTTAATTTTCTTTGTGCAATGAGAATAGCAGTTTTAAAAAGAAAGTCTTTTTTTATATAATGTATAAAGGTCAGCTGTGAATGTGTTGACGTAAGGGTATAAAAAAACGGTATAAAAATCATAACCATGATCTTCTCACATGATTCAAAGACATCGCTGACTGTGATGCCTCTCAGTACGAGCATGTACCTGTGTAGCGGATGTGTAGCGAGCCGTGGATCGAGACGTGGCAGCTTTGGCTGAACTGTGGGACCCCTCAGACGGCAGCGCGCCGCAGCACTGGGACTGATGGAAACATTTGCTGTACTCTTTGCGAACCTGCGAGAAAATAAAAGATCAGTGTCGGCTAAGGACGAGCAGACGGAGACAGAGACCCGAGCAGGCTCACTGACTTACAAGAATCACAAATCCTAGGTCTTTATCAAATGCCATCTTACAGCAGCTTAAATGCCACACGTGTTTGGACAGAGGAACCAAACTCTGAGGTACCACAGGGAGGAAGGACATTGGGCACTTGTGTTTCCATGTCTACACTGTATCGTGACCTGAGATGCCTTTGTGTAAAAGTTTGAAATATCCACACCTTCCATATGACATGGCGTTCCAAAACAAATAAAGTAAAAAAGTCAAATTAACTTAATTAAATCATTGGTGTCATATTTGATAGAGAAGCGAGAAAAACGCAAATTTTGCAGGTTTTCTTTCTAAAACACACAAAAAATATCTTAGAAAAAAACTATGTGGCAATTTTTAATTTAATTTGTTATAATGTTTCATTTAACATCCCATCTGCTTAAGACGTTAATCTCCGAAACAGGGAGGGTTTCAGAACAGACTTTTCTCCTCTCTCACTTCCATTCACTCTGTTGCTTTATCTAAGTTCTCTTTTCGCTTTTAATGGTGAACATCACGCCAGTGTTGCGATAAATCCAACAGGGCAAAAACAGATTCTGAACATGTTCTTCTTGCGAAAAGGTTGCTAGTTGTCCTGGACTTGGCCTCAACTGACCAATCTGATGCAACATTTGAAATTGAGAGAGAAAGATTTCGCAAAAATCCCTACTTAGATGCGGACTGTTGGCTGAGCTTGGCATTTGTGACATTTTTAATAAACACAAAACTCCCTTCCATTTTTACTTTCTGCTTATCTTCCGGAGGTTGATTACATTACAGCTGACTGCATCTTGCCTTTTTCTGGAGGAGACAGTGGAAGATGAAGATAAACATCCCCTGCAGTGTGTTGAAGATGGTGAAGAGATACGCCATCACAATGGAAGAATCATTAAGGAAGAACAGGCCAAAGGACCACGTGAGCCCCAGCAGACAGAGCAGAGCAAAAGAGCCCAACACCCACGACCTGCAAAACAGAGAATCAGTGCAAAGTTAGGAACGTTGAAAATCATCTGCAGGATTTGATGTCTCCTCTTCCTGACCAGTACCCTGTCCAAACACAGATAAGTAGATTGCTTTGGAATGAGTGACTAGTACAGTAGGTATTTGAGTAAAAAAAAAAAATTAAATTCCCCCTCGTCTTTTATGGACTTGGTGTCCAACTGCGGACGCAGCGACTTTTTTCCTTGGCAGCTTCCAGGAATTCAGCCGAGTGGAAACAAGATAACTTAGCAGTCACTTCCAATGACAATGGCTGATGGTTATTGATACATTAGAATAAAGTATGCCGTCCCGAGAGAGATGCAAGAAGTAAGAGGAGACAAAATGGGACAACAGCTCGTCACGGAGAGAGGCTTGAGTGAAAAAAACTGAGAGGCGGCGGTGGTGAGAAAGATGCCTGATTAGAAAGTGTGAAATTTACTTTATAATTTATCTACACAACATGTTTTTGACCTTTTAATTATAACAAATGTAACTGGTTCATTATTCAACACACGCGCCCCACAGATTGAATTCAGATTAGAGACAGACGCTGGTCACAGCAGTTGATGACTTCTGAAACGTATGTTAATGTAAGAAAGCCAAATGCAAATAACTCTAGATTTACGTAGCTAAAATCCTCTAGTTCTTTCTCTTTTTCTTTTTTCTTTTTTGGAACCAAACTCACTGTGGCCGACCATAAATCAACACCCACCTAACATATGTTGGCCTGCTCTTAGACATAGAGTTAAACAAGAAACCAGGCACAGAAACGGTCAGGGACTTGTCTTTTTATCCACCAAACGTGGGCCAGTGGAGGCAGAAAAGCTGGGATTTGTTTCCCCTGTTTTTACCATCATTAAATCTAAGAGGCACGTGGTTGAATCCGACCCTCCCCCTGCTAGAAAAAAACCCGTGAAGTATTCCAGTACAGGAGCAGAAATAGTAGCAAAGTTCATAAGTTCAGCCATTAAAAGATAAAACAAAAGACAATAAAAGTCTGTGGAGTACAAACACTCAAACCATAAAACCAACTTTATTTGCACCGATTATAAACCAAAGATTCAGAGGAGAAAATTGAATTAACTGTGGGCCAAATGTAGTTCTTGGAAGTTTACTCAACACTACGTATTACTTTTACTTCACACAAATACACATCCACCCTACACTTCTCAGAGTCTTCTCAGAGCAGCCACAGTCTGACCTGCTAATCTTCACAAGTGACACCCCTCACCTGATACCCCCCAGCCTGGACGAGTCAGGTTTCATGGAGGTGGAATTCTTCACCATCTTGTACATGGTCACAACCAGGAAGATGACGTTGACCTGTCAAAACAAAAGCATATCAGGCTGAACAGGCTGCACTTAGAGAGGAATCTGATTTCTGTCGAGCAAGCAGAGTACTTAAACCACATTGTAAAAAAAAAAGGAACCTCATTACAAATTCAAAATAAGTGTATGTAAATACGAGGAATGGCAGCGCCATTTGTCATATTTTAGGATTCTTTCGGGGCGAAACTCTTAATTAAAGTAACTAGAACTGTCAGAGGGAGAAAAGATTACAGTGTTTTCCTTTAATTTGTAGACGCCCGAAACTCACTCGCGGTTGCTAACAACAGAAGTCATGTTTCACAGTGACTTCGAATATTGCTTAATCCACAGTGGTTTTGGCTCAACGCGGCAAGCATCAACATCAGCATACTTTGACGGAGAGGAATAAGGAAATTTATTGCCTTGGTGCAGATCATAAAGTACGCTGACTTCCAAAAAGAAAAACAACGGTGAGAGGTTATTGCTGTGGTCTACTTCACACAGCTCGGGCCTTCAGCATTCGCTGCCTCACAAGTTTCTCTTCGCTCTCTCCCTTGCTTAACATTACATTTGGTCCCAAAGTGCAAATCCTCATTGAAAATGAGAATGTATGTCTTGTGACGTGCGAGCTGATCTTATGTGCTGAGAAAAAGGGGGAAAGCCCCGGAAAAACACAGAGAGGAAAGATCGTAGCTCTGCGCCATATTTTAGAAAAAATCATTTTGCGGGGGCCAGAAAAAACATGTAGGTGACTCCAGTCATTCATCCCACAAAGGTTTTCCATGCTTTCAAGACGTCTCAGCGTAAGAACGGCAGGGTTGGACGTTATCGAGGGAAAGGAAGGAGGTGTGCTTCATTTCGGTCCAAATAAATTACATTTTTGCTCACCTAAAATGAAGTATAGCCAGATTCATGTGCAGAGAGTAAAAAAATATTAAGCAAAGAAGCAAAAAGTGACCTATCGACTGTAAATGAAGACAAATTGAAGGTAGAGCTTCCAGGAATTTCTTTAAAAAATAAACCTTCGTAAAACTTCTCTTATTTATTTATAGTGGAGTTTTCTACAGTCAACGTTGACGTTGTCAGGAACATTGCAGTCTGTCTGACCTTTTTCATCCTTTTGCAATTGAATGGGCACTAGGTGTAAAATATGAATGAATAATTTAGAGCTGAGTAACAAACACAATGATCACCACAAACAACAGACTCTTCAGTAACAAACACAATGATCACCACAAACAATAGACTCTTCAGAAACAAACAAACAAAAAAAAAATTAAAAGCAGTATTTCTTTTTTTAACATCATTTTTAATAATTCTTTTTAATTCTGCTGGATCTGGAGTGACAGAAGTTTTTCTTTTTCATCTTTAGATGTGACTTTTTTTTAGATGTCACATTTTAAACATTATTTGAGTAGAAGTTAAAATAAGAAAGGTTGATATTTTTTCGTAGATGCAACTGGAGGGAAATTAAGTCCTGTCTTGACATTTAAAGAAATGTGCAGCTCCCGTAGAGCCTGCAGTCAGCCCTGCTCTCATTAACCACCGACACAGATGCGTCAATCTCCAGGTGTAGTTCTTATATTTATCAGCTAGTGGTTAGTGGAGAAACTGAATCTTTTTACGTTTGCGTTGAATGGTTTGACCTAATTACAGAGTGTTTGAACTACAAGGAGCTTTACATACTCAGTGTTAAAGAACACTTAGCACACATTCAGGCATTTTCTACCTGAGTTGACAAAAAACATAAAAATGAGATTTTTGTTTTTTAATATTCACAGACACGGTTTTATTATCACTCCATGATGATGCCAACACTGTAAGGCGACGGAAACACGATGAATGGAAACGAGCAGAATGAAAGGAAAGAGGATGAAACTCCACAACAGTAGAGGGAAGAACGCAGGAAGAAGGAGCAGCTAAGTAGACAGAAAGAGGCTTTTAGATCACATCTTAAAGTAATGCCGAGTGTTGTCTCGCAGCCACTGGGGCCGATTTACGTCTGCATGAGTCGAGCGGCTGGTGATGCATTTAACACAGCTGCAAGTGATGACACAGATCCGATGAGACAGACAGAGGGACAGACAAGCAGGTCAGGAGGCAGGAAGGCAGTGTGCAGAGAAAAGCAGACTTCCCCCCATGCCCAGTCTCAGAGGGGCCATCTTCTACAATATTTAGGTCTTCTATGTCTCTGCCAAATACAGTGAAAAAAAAAAGAAAAAATCCCCAGGCCTTGCTGACGCAGCCCCACACTGGGTTTTGCATATATTTACAGCCTACGGACAGATTTACATGTGTGTTAGGAAAAGCAGCTTCTATGGATCTGCAGCATGTTTGTTCAGGTCTGTGTGCATGCATGTGTGCACATTGTGTGTGTGTCTGTGAGCGATGTGAACACCCAGTTCCCCATATGAAATATTAAAAAGTGAAGATGGAGATGTCCGTGTGCTGCAATTGACTGGGGACGTGTCATGATCCTCGGCAGGACTATGAACTGTGGTAATGGTACTGTGGCCCACCCACTCATTACTTCCATGTTCACTGCCCCCCTCCCACCATCACACTTGTATTGCTACTGAGCAAATGACCTTCAAGCCTGAGACAATTTCTTCTCCTGATAGCAGGACGGGTGTATTATCGAGATGTACAGCAAGGACCAAACAGCTTTAAGCTGTTGCCGCTCACCAATTCTGATTTCAGAGGATTTCATAGCTGAGTGGACACTGATGTCCTTGTGTCAGCTATAATGGGACCACTTTTCTTTCATGCAAATTGATCCGAGAAAGCAGAGCTAGGAGGCTGCCAGCACACACGGAGAGAAAATCCATAACCAGAGCTTTTCTTTTGAGAAAACAGTGCATGTCATGTGTGTGAGTGTGTGTGAGAGTGTGTGTGAGCGCACAAAATTACAACTTACCACGATTATGAAGGTTACTGGTCCAATGAAGCTCCAGATGAAATGATTATCAACCCTCAGCCAGCATCTGCAGGGAGGTGATATTCACTCCATTAAATCATCGCACTGCCAAAACAAAGTTGTGTGTCATCGATCAGGGCCCGGCACAGCCCAGTGCATGATGGGTCACAGCAACAGAATAGGCTCCTCTGACCACAGAGAAGAAAACCCGACCTTGAGGGAATCTTGGCGCGGAGCCATGAGAAGCTGCAGTCTAAAAGGCAGCGGTTGTTGGTCTCTTAGCTTCATGACTTCACAGTCTGCAAATGCTTACAAATGTGCAACGTCTGACTGTGTATATCTCAGGGCCCGGACCGTAAACAGCCTATTGTATACAATTCAAAAATGAAATGCAGCTTGGCCTGTGTTTATCGTCAGGAAACGGGAGATGAAGTGAGGACTATGGAAATAAAACAGAGTTTAAAGAAAGGCAGTTCACTTAAACCTCATAAATTAGAGGAGTGCCGTCGTAAAGCTTGCTGCTTGGATGAGGACCAGCTGAGAAGTGCATAAAGTTTTAACTAGCAATTACCCACATGCAAAGAATAAAAATCAGACCGGGCAGTGCAGCTAGCCTGTGCCTTCATTAATGTTGTGGCTTTGCTCACTCCCACTTCTTTAAGCATTGACAGGGTGTAAATTTCCAGGGGCCAGAGGTGAATTACTCTCTGTGATATTTCTATCATTAGAACACACACACACACACAGACACACACACGCTGTGTGGCTGTGTAGTGATGCAGAGATGGGAGGACTAACACACTCCTGACTTTCATCCCCACCAAAGCTCAGCCTTCACAGAAACGCTGTACTTACGCTCGTGGTGTGCCGTAGCTTCTGTAGTCGATGGCTGCTGAGATGCCCACCACCACGGCCGGGGTGAGGTACCCAGTGATGTAATAGTACTTCCTGCGGGAGAACTCGCTCTCAAACACCTCCACCAGCATGAGGTACAGCTGCACGCCCTCCAGACACATCCAGGAGAAGGCGGCCAGGAAGCAGAAGTGCAGCGCACCAGCGATGATTGAGCACACCAGCTGACAGGAAGACACATTCAGAGGTTACACACAGGCACAAGTGGGGCCTTAAAGAAATGGATTTTTATCTTTGAACTGGTTGCCATGGTGACTCATTTATTTGAGGATTCTCAAGAGCCCAATGGGATCAGCGTATTTGAATTTAGATTATAGGGTGTGTAAAAAAAAAAAAAGCAGCTTTTTACCAATATTTGTATATCAACAAAAGATACCATGGAGCCTTGTCAGTTAAAAACTAGTTTTTGAGATTTTTACCCTCTTTTTAGCTTTTACTAATTTGGGCCTTTTAACCACAGCAGGTCACTGCGATGATTGAGATAAAACCACCTGCTCAGAACACATATATAGTTGGAACCAACGGAGTTGATAAAAGAGGAGACCAAACACCTGAGCCAGGAGATCATAATAGGTTTTCATTTATCAGAGAGACAGACATGGTGTTAAAAATTACCAGCACTGCTTCGTCTGCTGGGAATAAGAAACAACAGTTGAAGACAAATGACTCATCTGGCACCCTGGCCCCTCGGTAAATTTATTATTCAAAATATTCCCAAAGTGCTTTATTCCAAGGAAGATTTTATTATTTTCCTTAAAAAGAAAAAACAAACAAATCCTCCCACCAAAAAACCCTTGATCTACCACATACCATACTGTGGAGGTGGTGTTCTTTGCGTTATAAGCTTCTCCCTTACTTCTTCATACAAAGTCAACAAACCCATACAGTTCTTGTCTGAGCGAATAATATGTGAACTATATGAAAGAATGTGCTACATAGTCCTTGCTCCGAATGAGAACATCTGGGAAATCACTTATAGAGATTACATTGTCCAGTGGGAATAATTTCTGTATCCATCTGCATCAGGATGAGGAATATAGAGTTTTGTCATAGATGCTCAGCTGTGTGAAAATACTGTCAAAATTTCCCAGATTTCTAAAATTTCCCCTGTGAGCCATTGTGACAGAGCCAAGAATCTTTCAAATTGATGGAAGTCCGTTTTCAGCGAAAATCCATGTTTTGGGAGTGTTCACACGACGTGATTAAAAACGATACTTTCATTTGGACAAATTTGAAGTCATAAAATACTGTCCTTCTGTGTTTTCATACTGGACTCAGAATCAGTGACATCAATCTCAAAGTGTTGGCAGAAGTTGAAGCAGAATAGAGTTGCAGCATTTTACCTTAACTAGATTCACTTGAATGTAGATTAAGAGGGACATTTAAATGCATTTAAAAAGGTTAATCACACCGTGATGGGCCGTTCATCTGAGGCCGTTCTGCACAATGATTTTCACTCTACCTTTGGTTCCGTCATGTTGATGCCCACGAGGAAGATAAGTTCACCGATGAAGAGGTTGAGGCAGAGGTTTTTGTGAATGGTGTTGCGGTCACACTGCAAACCACGGAAGAAGCTGAAGGTGAAGAGGCTGATGGCCAGGCAGACCAGAGACACGGCGATGCCCATCCGTGTGATGACGGTCAGGAGAAGCTCATGGACACTTCCCTCCCCCTGCACAGACACAGACCCGTGTATGTTATGGACTAACCTTGAACTGCTGTGCTTTTTATAACATCTCTGTATATGGCTGTGTTCAAATACGGAGAAAAGAACTGCACGATATCCCTGTTGCAGAGGAATGGCTGCAAATGTTGCCCTATAACTTGATTTATTATTAGTTTTTCCTACAAATAGAGAAAAATGAAAAGACAGAGAACAGGGAAAGGTCATTTTTCACATTTAACATACCAATGGAAATATATATCTAAAAAGCCTGTTTTGTCCATAGAAAACATAAAAATAATTTCTTTTTTTTTTTTCTCTCATTACTTCCATTGACAACACATTAGGATCTCATTACGGGAAGAAAAATCTGTTGCAATATTTATATGGGTACCTGATATTCATTCAAAACAGAGGGAGAAAAACAAATATCCATTTGTCCTTCAACTTGATCACATGTGATGACATTTGGCACTCACACGTGCTATTTAGACCTGGCCGTTCAGAGTAATCCAATCACGTGAGGAGAACCCAAAGTATGGGTCTGAATTCTAATAATGCCAGCTAGTGTGTCCTTGGATGAAATCCCTGAAACCACATTCGGAGGAAGTTCCGAGCCGCACGTGGCCACGTCAATTTATTCTCATGCTACACCCACAATAATAAGAGCAACTGTAAAAACTTTCCCATCATAACGGTCACATGTTGGCATGCACACAAATAGTATTATTATTTATTTTCATACGCCTAAGACGCCTAATGGGTGATCGTGTAAGCTAGTTTTTAATCCTGTTATTCTATTAACGTCCATCAGTGACTGCAACACTTTAACATAACAAGATGACTTCATATGTAATTTAATATCAGCATTTGTAACAAAACCTTTTACAGCCTGTGACAGTTGTTAAAATCCTGAATCAAAGTAAATGCTGCTATTTGATGATGACACGTCTTTCAGGATCAGCTGCTATTACTCACTCGGCAAGTCACTTTACGACAACGACAACACAAAGTGACAGTAGTCCCATGAAGTCTTTATGTTCTTTTGATAAATAAATGAATGTATTTGTGCTACATTAAAGATCAACTGTTATCCAAATATTTCCTTATTTTAGATGTTGACACAGATACAGACTTTACATTTCTCATTGTGGCATATACTGTGCTGGAATATTCATATTCATGAATGTATGTTCCACAGGTAACAGCCAGACAACGGCTGAACATTTTTTAACTTTATTTTTCTTTTTACGCGTTCTGAAAAGTGACATCAGTTAAGAACTGCCACATGTACCCTGTGATCTTGTCATGTGACGACCACATGCTGATTTTGTTTTTGAGGTCCCATCAGCATGTGTGTTGTAAAACATTTAAGACTGAGTGTGTTCCAAGATGGAACAAAAAAAAAATAAAAAAATACTTGACTTCACTGACAACATCATTCAACAACATGGTGGCCTGAGAGTGAGGCCATTCTTCCTGTGTTATTTGTAATTTCACTGAGAGCAGGAGTCGCATGTGAGGTGATGTGTAGGGGAATCGGTGTGAGGCTAAAGCCTCGCCTCCGGGGTCTGGTTTCAAGCTGTGGTTAAGTTTGAGGTTAAGACAGATGACAGGGACAGAGTTCATGAGTTAGGACGTATTATTAAAGGAACCACAAACCTTTCCTCCACATTTATTATGGGCTAGGTCCTTGCTACACATGCTATTTATCATGTAATTGGATTATAATTGCATTTCACGACCAAATGGATCCCACACCACTTCAAGAGTGCTGGAAACACAAGTTAAAGCTCAGGGTGCGTACTACCTTTTCCCATGATTCTTAGAAACATGCGCATGATGGCGTATTAGACACGGACCACAGGTAAAATATAATTACATCTAATAACGGTACGCTCTTATCTCTGCTGATCCACAATTTTGCTCTTTTAAATTGACAGCCTGCTTCTCCACCTCTCATCTCTTATCTCCACCCTCACCTTCTCTTCTGTTAATAATCTAATTATGTCCACTGAAATGCTACTCTTGTTCTGGATGTGTGCACGCAAATACGTGAGATACATTGACGAAATGAAACAAGAAAAAAAAAAAAAAAAAAAAACCCTCCTGTGATCCGAGGGCCACTCACCACGTTTCCCCTGTGAGCCATGAGGATGGCAAAGTTGGTCAAGTGACTGCAGGAACAAGTGGTGTGGCTCTTGTTGGTGTCCAGCAGTTTACAGCCTTGAGTGGACCAATATCCCATCATGCTCCGCTCCGAGTAATTCCAGAAGGAACAGTTGGGGTTGTAGTAATGCTCCTTCTACAAAGCACAGAGAAAAAAAAATTAAAAATGAATGAGAACTCTTTGCAAAATGCATGATTGTAAACAAACATTCTTTTTATATTTCATATCTTTAAGCGTATGTAATGTCAGTAGATGGAATGACGCAAGCTGGAGTTTTATGCACGTCTTTCATCAGGTTTAGCCAGATTGAAATGCTCTACTCGGCGAAAAGGATTGTGGGGGAAAAGTAGGGATGAAATAAAAAAGCATTAATATGTTAATTTGCTGGGATTACTGTGGCACCTTGAAAACACAAGGTGAAACATGACAAACAACACGCCTGACTTGTGTTAATCACCATCCGTGTCACACGCGGACAATACGTCATTTTTAATTTGCTCGTGTGCGACACTAATTAAACAAAGCTTCGTCTAGACGCAACCGCGCCGTGGCGTGAAGAGGTCTGAAAGGAGGAGACTCACATCCAGGTGTTCCAGCGTAAAGATCACGGGGTCAGCCACGAACACGCGACTGGACTCTTTGGTAATTGAAGCTGAAAGGATGTGGGAGTTGACGGTGAGGGAAAGGTTGCGCCGGCTCGGGTCCACCATTCCCTTCAGTGTTGCGTTCTCCGTGCTGAGGAACTGACCCAGATTCTTGTACAATACAAACACCAGCTTGGCCACACCTGCAATGAGACATAATTAAGTCATCAGACATGCAGGACTCCTTTAATTAAGAGACATACAGTGTTGTTTTAGTGTTATTCAACAAACACAGCAATAATGGTCTTGTTATTGTAGCAACATGTCAGCCCAAGTGCTTTACTAATGGACGCAGACGGGCGTCTAAAATAAACAGAGTAATAATAATTTTAATTACATTATAAACTCCCAAGAGCAATGTGGCCTTCATAATGTTAAAATAAGCCCTGGGACAACAGAGGACTCTCCCCGAAGAGCCACGGGGGGTAAAGTGTCTTTGCTGGAGAGGTGACCAAAAAACCCCCCGAAAGTTCACTGTGAACTCCAGAGATTCTGTGGCTGCAACACTTCACCGACCCGTGCTTCATGGCAGAGTGGGCAGACAGAAAACTCTCCTCAGTCAAAGTTACATAAAAGCCTTCTCAGATTGTGCAAAAAAAAAAAGCATCCAAGCACTCTTAGTCTGTGACAAGAATCATTTTCTCCTCTGATGAAACAAAGATTGTACTGTTCTGGCCTCAAAAAGCACTCTGAATAAAAGTGGACGCTGCTCATCGCTGGACTGATACCAAGGACAAAGAAATAGTAAGATATTTGTAGAGTAGAGTTTTTTTGTTTTTGTTTTTGTTTTAACAGAGAATAGGCTAGATGCCAGTCATGAGTTGAACTGGTCAGAGTACAAAGACAATTGTACTTAAAACCTGCTCTGTAAAGCACTCAGGTGTTTTAACAAAGATAAGACATCACAGAAGGACAGGGATAATTTGAGGAATGTCTCTTAAGATGACACAACAACAGCCCTGACGTGAACCCATTCAAAGAACTCTGTGGAATACTGCAAATGGCGGCCACCTGACAGGACCCATTCAGGGAGAGGGATCTAGTGGATCTGCAGAGAAGAAAGGCAGAACATCTCCTAGATCCAGGTGTTTAAAACGTGTCGCATCACGTTTGGTGCTGCAGGCTCTAGAACCTGGTCCGAAATACTTAAAATTCAATTATTTTTCTAACTTGGATGTTGAGTATAGATTAAAGGTATTTTAACATAGGGTCTGCGGACACGAAATTGATTAGAAATTATTTGTTTTACAATTATTTGTTGGGAATTTATGGATAATTTATGTCAAATGACTAAAATCACTCAAATCAAAAACCATAGCAAGCACGTGTTCTATACAACAAGACTGAGGTTCAGTAAATTCTCTTTTTAAATTATATACCGTATATAAAAAACGAATAAAAATCTGTCCAATCTGAAATTAACTGTGTGAGTAGGAACAAGCCATTCATTTTAAAAAACAGATTAAGAGTAATAATAAGTGAGGCAGTTTTGTGGTATTTTTATGGCGGTCTTTCTGAAAAGACAAATCTTTCGTGGACTGATGTTGTAACATTCAGCAACATATGACTTTCATTATTGAATCACAGTGAAAAAGAGAAACAGAACCGTGACGTTTGTCTTTGGCAGCAGTTGTTTGGCTCCTTACCGTTTTTACTGTTGACTTTGACCGTGTTGGAGGAAAGTTGAAGCGTGGCTCCACCTTTGCTCGTCTGTGGAAACCTGAAATCTTGCACCTGGCCATCTGTGCTTAGCACGTACACTTCCAACACTGAAAAGGTTAGGACGAGAGAGGGGACAGGTGGGGACACACACAGAGACAGCTCCAACGTTAGGGCCTGGCAGCAACCGCTCAAAGATTGCATGTTAGCAGTTGGAGTAATAGACTGTGGTTTTATTGGAACTCGGGCAAAAGAAAAGAAAAGCAAAAAATAATAATACGGGAGGTGATTTTGGATGAGTGAAAGCAAACTCAGAGCTTACTTGAGTATGAATGTCAAATATTCATAGCAGCCAAATATCATCGCGCTATTACTTTTACTTTTTCTCTCCCCTGTGGGTTCAGATAACTCTCGGCTTGACAAGCAAATCTCTGAAAATCCTCCAAATTCCTGCAGCCACCCTCTCCAGCATGGCAGCTGCCGGGTGGTGGTGCTCCCTTTGATGTGTGAAATTACTGAGGGGTCAAGCGGACATAGGTATCAGCACAGGACACACGAATCAGCACGCTCCCTCCCATCACAATCAGCCTCACTTCCTCCGAGTGATAGCTTCTGACAGATGGAGATGTGGAATTGCTCTCCGGTTGC